ATGATGGAACAGTTGAGACCTAGGCGAAACCTGTCAGCTGTTGAAGTGGATGGTGGCAGGTTCTCCCTGCTTTTCCTATTCCAGGCACCCCCAATCAATTGCACATTCTCAAAGCCTCCTTTCTAGCCCTTCTTCATACGATTTGCTTCAGTCTGGTATGTTCTCTAAGGCCTCTTTCACAACCCCACCAGGGCTGGGTATTTAGCCTAGTGATTAAAGTGCTAGTTAAGTATAAACCCACATTAAGTTCTTGGGTTTGATGCTTGCCTCCTGTTCCTGCTAATGCGAACCCTGGGGGGAGGGGGTGATTATTATGACTCAGGTAAGTAGCTCCCTGCCACCCACAAGGAGACCTGGATTGACTTCTCAGCTCCCGGCGTGAGTCCCCACCCAGTACTGGTCATTGTGGGCATTATGAGGCATGAAACGGTGACTAACAGCTCTGTGTGTCTCTCAAATAAACGTAAAATGTTTAAAAAAATAATTGGACCTGGTGCTATGGCTCAGTGGCTACACCTTGCATTCACCGGGATCCCATAGGGGTGCTTGTTTGTGTGCTGGCTGCTCTATTTCCCTTCCAACTCCCTGCTTGTGGCCTGGGAAAGCAGTGGAGGATGGCCCAAAGCCTTGGGCTCCTTCACCTGCATGAGAGACCCAGAAGAAGCTCCTGGCTCCTGGCTTCAGATCAGTTCAGTTCTGACCCTTGCAGCCGTTTGGGGAGTGAATCAGCAGATAGAAGATCTTTCCCTTTATCTCTCCTTCTCTCTGTAAATCTGCCTTTCCAATAAAAATTAAATAAATATATATTTTTTTAAAGATTTTTTTTATTGGAAAGGTGAATCTACTTAAAAAAGGAGACAGAAAGAGAAAGATCTTTCATCTGCTGGCCCACTCCCCAACTGGTCACAATGGCCAGAGCTGAGTGGATCTGAAGCCAGGAGCTTCTTTGGGGTCTCTCATGCAGGTGCGGGGTCTCTCATGCAGGTGCAGGGTCTCAAGGACTTGGGCCTCTGCTGCTTTGCCAGGCCACAAGCAGGGAACTGGATGGGAAGTGAAGCAGCTGGGACACGAACCAGTGCCCATATGGGATCCTAGTAGTTGCAAGGCAAGAATTTAGCCACTAAGCTATTGCACTGTGCCCAAAATAAACCTTTATTGTTATTATTGAAATATTTATTTATTTTTATTGCAAAGTCAGGTATACAGAGAGGAGGAGACAGAGAGGAAGGTCTTCCGTCCAATGATTCACTCCCCATGTGACCACAACGGCTGGTGCTGTGCCGATCCGAAGCCAGGAGCCAGGAACTTCTTCCAGGTCTCCCATTCGGTGCAGAAACCCAAGGCTTTGGGCCATCCTCAACTGCTTTCCCAGGCCACAAGCAGGGAGCTAGATGGGAAGCGGGGCTGCTGGAATTAGAACTGGCAGCCATATGGGATCCTGGTTTGTTCAAGACGAGAACTTTAGCTGCTAGGCCACTGTGCTAGGCCCTATTATTCTTATTTTTAATAATTAAAAAAGCAAAGTGTTAGGGAGGGAGAGAGAGAGAGATTGAGAGAGACAAGGAGAGATCTTTCACTTACTGGTTCACTCCCTAGATGGCCACACAGTTGGGGCTGAGCCAGAGGAAGGCAGGAGCCTGGAATCCCAGTTGGATCTCCTCTGTGAGTAGCAGGGGCCTGTAAGCGTGGGCCGGTTTCTGCTATCTGGCTAGGCATGTTAGCAGGGAGCAGAACCAGCAGAAGCAAAGCTCCCTGCCAATGTGCCTGCGAAGAGAGCAGGCTACCTGAGTGGGCCCTGCACCCATATGGGAGACCCAGATGAGACTCCTGGCTTCTGGCTTTTGCCTGGCCCAGCCCTGACTACTGTGGTCATTTGGTGAATGAACCAGCAGATGAAAGATCAATTTCTTTCTCCTTCACTTTCTGTAACTGCCTTTCAAGTTAACTCATTTTTTTAAAAAGTGGAGCACACGGGACTTGAACTGGCACTCAGACTGGATGTCAACATTGCCAGTGGCAGATGAATCACCTGTGTCACCACACTGGTCCCATCAAATAAAGTTTTTTCTTTTAAAGATTACTTGAAAGGCAGAGTTAGAGAGAGGGAGAGAGAGAGATCTTCCATGTGTTAGTTCGCTTCCTAAATGCCTGCAAAGACCAGGATTGGGCCAGCTGGAAGAAGCTGGGATAGAACCAGCACTCTGCTGGGATATTGCTGGAGTTAAGGCACGGTTGAACTCACTGTGTCATCACAACAGCTCCAAATAAATATATTTTAAAGAATCCTACTGGGTCCTGTGGCAATGGCTCAATGGCTAAATCCTCACCTTGAACGCGTCAGGACCCCACATGGGCACTGGTTTGTGTCCCAGTTGCTCCACTTTCCCTCCAGCTCCCTGCTTGTGGCTTGGGAAAGCAGTCAAGGACGGCTCAAAGCTTTGGGACCCTGCACCCACATGGGAGATCCGGAGGAAGTTCCTGGCTCCTGGCTTCGGATTGGCTCAGAACTGGCTGTTGCGGTCACTTGGTGAAAGAATCAGGATGGAAGATTTTTCTGTCTCCCCTTTTTCTGTAAATCTACCTTTCCAATAAAAATAAATAAATCTTTAAAATAAATACAAATAATTTATTCATTTATTTTTTTTAATTTATGTTTATCACAAAGTCAGATATACAGAGAGAGAGGAGGAAAGACAGAAAGGAAGATCTTCCGTCCAATGATTCACTCCTCAGGTGACTACAACGGCCGGTGCTGCGCTGATCCGAAACCAGGAGCCAGGAACTTCCTCCAGGTCTCCCACGCAGGTGCAGGGTCCCAAGGCTTTGGGCTGTCCTTGACTGCTTTCCCAGGCCACAAGCAGGGAGCTGGGTGGGAAGTGGAGCAGCTGGGATTAGAACTGGTGCCCATATGGGATCCTGGTGCGTTCGTCGCCGGGTTCTCATTTATTTATTTGACAGCCAGAGTGATGGGAGGCAGGGGGAAGAGAGAGCGCCTCCAATCTCTGATTTACTCCTGCAGATGGCTGCAGTATCCAGGATGGGGCCAGATCACAGCCATGGGGGTCTCCTACCCTGGGTGGCAGGAAATTAAGAACTTGGAGCCAATATCGGCTGCCTGCCAGGTGCAGTAGTAGGGAGCTGAGGTGGGATTCAATCTCAGGCACTCATGCACAAGAAGCAGGCGTCTCAAGTGGAGGCTTAACCTGCTGTGCCCATTAGGGCACCTGCCTGCACTAAAAATTGCTTGAAACCCAATTCCTATGTCACAGCTGCCTTCTTTCTCCTGGTGGTGCTCGCTAGCACCGCCACATCTGGCACATCTTTCTTGATGCTCCCTGTGGGCTCTCTTGCCAGCTGCCTGTGGTGACACAGCTCGTCTCACTTTATAGGCTGCTAACTCGTTATCTTTCCCACCAACCATGACACTGTCAGGGCACTGACACCAGGCCCACTGCCCAGCAAAAAGTTGATGCTCAAAAAAATTTATATATCTATCTATCTATATATATATATAGATAGATATATATATAGATAGATAGATATAGATATAGATATAGATATAGATATAGATATAGATATAGATATTGTTAAACTGAATCTTCGTGTCTCTTCCATGATATTCTTACTGGCCTCCATTTTGCTGTCCACACATCCACCCTTCTCTATTGAACTTCAGCTCCTTCAGGACAGGATGGCCTCATGTTTAAACTGTGGCTCCTGGTATCTAGAATGGTGCCTTGCTTACTGGAGGGGCTCACTTTCCTTTTCTGTGAAATGAGGGTAATAACGACAGCCCCCCCCCCCCAGAGGATTGCTATAAACGATATGTAAAGCACCTTGGAGGCTTCTGAGGGTGATGCAAATGTGGGCTTGGCTTACTGGGGGGAGCAGCTGTGTTGTCAACAGAACTCGGTCTAGGGTCTTTGCGTGGGTCCCTATGCACCTCAGGTACCTGCTCAGTCAAGGGATGTGGAGGACCACCGTCCTCGGAGCCGCAGTCCTGCTTCGGTCCAGCAACACTGCACCTGTCTGTCTCGCTGGACTGGCAGCAGGACCCAGGGCAGCTGCACAGAGATGTGTCCCAGTACGTGCTGTGGGGGGTGGCTATGATCTGGGGGGGGACTTATTTGAATAAGAGGCTCTTCCCGTCCCCCACCACACACACCCCTTTAGTGGCAGTGTACTTCCCAGGCCTCCCGGGCCATCAGTCTGCAGGACAGGTTGGGCTCCCTGGCTTACCGGTATACCAACACACATGCTCTAAGTAACCTCAGCACCTCCACCCAGACTGACCTCCTCCAACCTCTGCCTCTGTCAGTGGTGACTTCTTCTTCCCAGTCCCAGAGGCCAGAGCCTTCTCCGAGTCATCCTTGCCACATCCTCTCCCTTCTGTCTCACCCCGCAACACCAGCCGGTCACTACGGCCTGTCCTCGCGTGTCCCTGAGATGCCTTCCCAATCTTGCGTTGCGCTCCTCTCACCCTCACACCAGCCCAGCTTGCCCTGCACGTTCACAGGGTGGCGACACTCTCCCAGCTGGCCACCCTCTGCTGGCCTCAGCCGAGCCACGCTCCACACCTGATCACCGTCCTTACCCAGTCCGTCTCTTGCTCAAGAACAGGCAGACGCTCCCTATTTCTAACCATGTTAGCCCAGGTAGTTAGCCTGCTCACTCCAGAGTGGGCGTGGTGGAGTTGAAATTTACCATCAGGCCGAATTGCTTGCTCCTTCCCGCCCCTCTACCATCTCCCTACAGCCCCCAGCCATCCACTGGCCTCTCATTGCCTCTCCAGCTGGCAGGGCGATTTGCTGGTAACTCACATAAGATACTCAGCACCCACAGTAAGCACTGCTTTTGCTGCTCATGGTACATAGCAGGTAGCAGACACTTCCGGAAGTGAGGAAGATGAGGTTGAAAGGGGAGGGGGTGAGGAATTGGGATCAGGAGGAGTGGGTGTAGGGCAGAGAGGGAGGATGCTCCCAGGAAGTTGCGCTACTCACGGTGCTGTAGTTGCTGAACAGGCCCAAGGCAGGGGCGGGCTCCAACGGGAACGGTAGGATCTGCTTGAGGTCCAGCGGGGGCTGCATGATGGGGGGCTGCCGGAGCAGAGGGAGGGGCCCTGCCCGGCTCAGGCTACCTGGAGGGCAAAGAAAACCTTCCGTGGGGTGGGGAGATTGCAGCATGGCGACCCACCCCCACCACACCAAGCCTGTTTGTCCCACTCGCTAGATGGAGTCGCCCCACTCAGAAGTGTGGCTCCCCCCGTGTGTGCATGGGCCCTCGTGCACACACAGACACACACGTACATGTACTTGTCCGTGGCTGGCTCTGGGAGGGCGCAGGGTGCAGCACTGGCCTTCCTTCTAGCTGGTTTTCACTTCCCCCTCCTCCTGCCTCCCTCCCCCTCGACCTTCAGGCGTTTTACACACCCAGGAAGGGCTGAGACCTCTGCGGACTGCCCGCTGGGCCAGCAAGCCCAGACCTGAGCCTGTGGCCTCTCCTCTGTGCTGGTTAGCTATCCCCCGGGGGAGAAGCACAGTCCAGTGGGTGAGCGCTCCAGGCCACTGCCTACCAGGAAGGGGGCTGCTGACCCCCTGCCCATGCCACTGCTTGTGGTTAGGATTTTGTCCCCATCAGTAGATGACAGTGACTCTGGCAGGTTCCCCTCTGTGCCCCCCCCCACCCTGGGCTGTTCTTAAGAGCCCCTTGCCAGCTTCCTCCACCTCCCCATGGCCCTGGGTCTCACCCACAGTGCTCAGCTCCGGCTCTGCAGGAGGAAGCACCAGCCAGGCTCTGGGAGGGGAATGCCTGGCTCTGACCCCAAGGGGAAATGAGAGTCAGGGCCAGTCTCCTCCGAACCTATTTCTCCTCCCTGCCCCCCTTCACCTCCGCTGCAGGCTTCTGGGAGAATCTCCACTAGCCTCTGAGAGGGGCAGCCCACCAAAGGTGCTTGGGACCCTTCTGGCCTGCCACTGGCCCTGGCCTGCTGTCAGCAGTTGGGAAGCACAGGCTGCCCTGGGCTGCTCCAGCAAGCCCTTGCCAGCAACCGGGGTGCCCAGGAACAATGGTGATCTCAGGAGGTTGCGTGCCTGGCCCCAACCTCCCCTGACCTTTACTAGAGCCCAGGTCTCTAACCCCCCACGTTCCCAGAGTTCTTTTCCAGTCCTCTCCTTTTCTTGCCCTTTTTTCCTACCTTTGGTTTCTGCAGCCTGCTGCCCCCAGGCAGTGGCCTGGCCCTGGCCCCCCAGGGGCCTGGGCCTGACAGCGTCCCCTTCCCTCGGTTCTGCCCTCTGCCCCCTCCCTTGCCAGCCCCCTCCCCTCCCAGCCCAGTTAGTAGAATCAACCAATCAGAGTCCTGGAAAAGTGGGGCAGAGGGGAGGGCGGGGGATCAGGGATTAGGGGAATCTGAGGCGAGAGGGAGGGGGTGGGGAGGGCCCAGGCACAGCTGGGGGCAGGGAGCTGGTCCAGAATGGACTGCAAGGGTCTGTGTGTGCCACCCAATGCCAAGGCTGGGATGGCTGGGATGGCTGAGGCAGAGAGGGGTCCCAGGGCTGCAGGGAGCAGGAGCTTCAGGCTAGGGTAGGGTGCTTGACTTTGGCCTTGGAGCACTTGGGGGTGGTGGTGTCTGGGAGCCTGTGTGTGACCTTCCCTCTCATGTGCGACCTTCAGGGTTGGAATGGGGTGTGGGGAAAATGAGACAACATACACGCACACACAGGGCACATGGCAAAATGAGCAAGCGAGAAGGTGGCAGAGTCGAGGCAGAAAGGGTCACTGAGTCAAGAAAGACCTATAGAGGGCACAGGTGGAGCAGCACGGTGTGCTGTGCCCCTTCTGGCAAGCTGAGCCTGGAGCTAGGATGGGCCAGGACAGCCGCATAGGGAGTGGAGGAGAGGAGAGGAGGGTTGGTGGAGGGTCATTTCCCTCCCTGCAATATCTCCCCATGGTTGTTCCCCTCTGAGCCCCACCTCCCACCCAGGCCTGCCTGGCACACAGGGCCAGGGCAGCCTTAACGAGCCCCAGGCGGCATCAAGAATGGTGAGAGAAACCTGAGCGCTCCCAGCGTCCCCAGCACCCAGCACCCACCCCAGCAGCTGGCTCTGGGCTGGCGCTTGCCCTGTCCGGAGCTGCAGCTGGGCTTTCTGGCTCCTTTCCCCAGCTGTGGGCTGGCTCCAGATGCCCACCCCTCACACCCGGGCCTAAAGGGGAGAGCTGGGTTGCCAACAAAACCCAGAGGTGCCTCCCCGTGGCACGTTGTGAACTCCACATCCGGTCACCTCTAGCCTTGGCGGTAGCTCAGTGGGGAGGTGCCCATGATCCTGGGAAGTGGTTTGTAAGATTTTTTTTTTTTCTTCCCCTCCTCGCAACATCAACACCAAGGAAACAGAGACTGAGAGAGGTGAATGAACTTGGCTGCTGTCACACAGCTTCTAAGCACTGGGCTGAGATTCCAATCAGGACCCATTGCACTCCATGGCAAATGATTTCTCTGCTACACTGCTCCCGAAGGGCTCGAATTTAATGCAAGATCAAGGGAGGAAGTAGGGGAGCCTGGTCCGTGCACTTTCTGGCCTTGACATCCTCATACACTGCCCTACCCAGCTCGGAGCCACTGAGGTCCCATGGCCAGCAACTCACCTTTTCCACTGATGAGAGTCATGGCGTGTGTGCGTGTGTGTGTGTGTGTGTGTGTGTGTGTGTGTGTGTGTGTGTGTGTGTGTGGCGGGGAGGGGAAGGGTGGAGAGCAGAAGCAGGAGATGGAGGTGACAAGAAGGCAGAGGGAGGGAGGGAAGCAAAGGAGGGCCATTAATTGGATCCTCACTGGCTCCTGAGAGCCAGGAGGGGGCGGAGGGACAGAGCTGGACAGGCCCCAGGCTCCTCCCCTCTTCTCCTGGGGGGTCACAACTATTGCGACTATTGGAGGGCTAACTATATGTCAGGCATGTGTGGTGGCACACCAGCTCGCAGCAGCTAGGTGAGCTGTGAGTTCCTGGGACTCTCAGTCGGCCAGCTAACAAACCGCACCTGCCAAATAAGAGCTGGTGAGAGGACAGGAGAGAGCTAGGCGAGAGCCCGATGAAAGGCTGTCGAGCCAATGGGCCTTCACCCTCCTGATTAGGCACGCTGTGTCTGAGAGATGGGGAGTTACCTGGCCACAAGGCTGCACAGGTTGCTGAGGGGTTTCAACCTGTGTGTCTTGGCTGCAGAGACACGGCTTTCGGATGCTATGCCTTTCCAGGTAGACGGGAGGGAGAGAAACAGATGAGGCTACAGGAAGGGCTGGGGAAGCAGGCACTCAAATAGGAAATGCAGGGCTTCTGACATCTGGGTGGGCGAGTGTGTCTGGCATGGTAGTAGCAAGAGATAGATGGCAATTTGCAGTGTGTACGTGTGTGGGTGTGGCTCCTAGGTTGGCCAGGGTATGGCGGCTCTGGGGCATGGCTGGGCCAGGCCATTCCAGAGGGAAGCTCATTAGAGTAACCACCTGCAGCAGCTAGGGCCGCACCCAGCTCCATGAGGGAATTGCTACTTGCTTTACCCAGGGCAGCTCCCAGCACGCTGCGGAGGGGCTGGGCCGGCAGACCCAGCTTTCGCGTTCTACTGACCCTATCCAGACTGGCCAGACTGAGCCACACGCGGCACCTTCCCTCCGTGGAGCTGGGTTCTGCTCTTTTCTCTTTCTCTCTTCCCCCAGAATGTCTGGCTGGGTCTGGAGGAGACCCAGGCCTCTTGGCTGTTTCAAGGCAGGGCTGGGGCGTCCAACCCTTGGCGGGATGGGACGGGAGTGTCTGGTGAGCTGGCCCAGGGAGTGGTCGCTCTGAGGGAGCAACGGGAGCCAGGCAGAGTGTCAGGGAAAGGCTATGTGGCACAGACAGAGCCAGGATGGGACTGGATCAGATGGTGAAGGCATGCAGATAGCGAGGGGTCAAAGGTGGCAGAAAGCCCAGGTTCCCCACTCAGTTTAAAAATGGGAATTAGGCTCTGGAGCTAAGGTGGGACTTGAGATCTGATCTCCTGGCCTTTCCGTGCATGTTTTTACCTTTGGGGTTTCCTCACTTCTTCCCCCAAGAATGTCTAACTGAGGGAAGGCCTCCAAGCCTTGGGGATCAGTCCCCTTGTGCCTCAATTCCTCCATCCTGGCGGAGGCAGGCTCAGGGCTGCAGCCTTTGAAGCCACAGATGAAAGAGACAAGGGGCTGATTATGAACTACTCAAAACATCTTCCCTAATAACCCCAGGGGGAGGTGGGGGGAGGGGGAAGGGCCGGGCACAAAGGGAGGAGGGGCCCAGGAAAGGGAGGAAGCAGGGAGAGCTCTGGGAAATCTTTCCCAACCTGAAAGGGCTTCCTCCTTGGCCAGCCCCAGCCCTCTGTGAGTGGGGCACTCTGGGAGGGGCAGGTGAGCAGCGAGCTGCCACCTTAAGGCAGGCCTAGACTCTAGGTTCAAGCCTACAGGTAGGGTTACTTGCTGGGTGCCGATACCCTGGAGGGCCCTTCCAGGGCCACTCCGCAAGGGGACTCAGGGGACCTCAGCATGCGTATTGGTCCTGGCACCTTCCCCCAATAGTCGCCCCAACTGCCCAGGTGGGAGGGAGATTGGTAACCAATCTCAGGGTCTTTGGACCCAGCCACCTAGTTGAGCTTCTCCCAAGCAGCGCCAGTCTGACTCAACCACCTTCCCCCTTGCCCCATCCCTTTGTGGACAGGAAGAGGCTGCTTCTGGGCCCAGGGCCCAGGCTGGAGCCAGAGGGCAGGCCCTCGTGCAAGTGGGAGCAATGTGGAGCGTGTGTTCTGGGGAACCGGTGCTGGTGGAGGGGTGGGGGTGATGGAGGGGTGGGGGCGATGGAGGGGTGGGGGCGGGATCTCTGCCCTTGCTGGAACTCCTTGGGAAGAGCGCAGGTGAGCAGTTCTTCATTCCTGCCTTCATTCATTGACTGGATGCAGGGCTGGGTGGAGGGAACAGGATCCTAGGTGCTGAGAGAGGATGAGGAGGTGATGACAGAAGGGCAAGAAGACAGGCAGTGGGAAGTCAGAAAAGACAGCTCCAGGAGGGGTGGGGGAGAGAGACGGCCAAGCCCTGGGGCCATCAGCATGGAGCCAGGTGTCCCCGCTGAGGGGCAGGAAGACCACAGGTGTCTGGGTCTGCTAAGGGGGGGGGGGGTCCCAGGAGCAACAGGGCCCAGGAGGCTGCCCCGCCAGGGCTGGGGGCAGAGGTCAGAGCTCCGCGGGGTTGCTGTGGACCATTGTGGAGGCCGAGGAAGGCAGGGGCCTGGAGCCAGGGCTGATGCGGAGGAGGATGGAGCCCAGCTAGGCCCTCTCCTCCCCCATCCCCGGGGCTCCCTTCCCGATGTAGGTCATGAGGATGGGGTGGCTGTGCCTGGCGGCTGTCAGAGCCCAGTGGGAGTTCCCCTCCCCCAGCCTCCCCGCTCCAGGCCGCCCCTCCCTCTCCTGGCGCCCCCGGCCCAGGGTAGGGAAGCAGGGGGGAGAAGAGGAAAGGCAAGAAGGAAGGGTTCAGGCAGTGAGAGGGAGCGAGACTGGGGCAGGTCCCGGCGTGTTGGGGCAGGATGGCTGCGGAGACGCGGATCTGGGCCGCAGGGGCGCCTGCGGGGTGGACACCTGCCCGCCCCCTCCTCTCCCCGGCCCCAGGTCGCCAGCCCTCAGGTTCCCACCTCCCACCGCACTCACCTCGAAGCTCGCCCCCCACCGCCCACCCTCCCCCGTCCCCCACTTCCTCCTTCCCCTCTTATTCTGGGCCCAGGAGGATGTCCGAGTGTTTCGGGCTAAGCGAAGGCTGAAGGCAGGAGCTGGGGAGGGTTGGGGGGCCCGCTGGGCGCCTCCCCCCAACTACAGCAGGCGGGGAGCGCCCCCTCCCCCATCGCTCGTAGACGGGTCTCGTAATATTCATGAGCCTCATGAATACGCAATGTCCTCATTATGGGGCGGGGGTCTCGCTCGGCCCTGCCTCCCCCTCGGCCGTTGGCTCGCTGGGCTGCAGGCAGAAGCAGCAGCTCGGAAAAAAGGAGGCCAAGAGGGGACCCCAGATGTGGAGCCAGCTGAAGGGGGAGGGGGCCCGGTCGCTGACGGGCGGGCGGCCGCAGTCACCGCGGTGTCGGGAGGTTGGGGGGGCAGGGGTGACCCATGGCGAGGGGGTCCGGGAGCCAGGAGCCCGGAGCCGCAGCGCGCACTCACCGAGGATCATGCTGGGGACCCGGGCGCCCGGGGTTCCGCGTCGCTCTGTCCCGGGGGCCGCTCTGGCTGGGCTGGGGGTGCGGGGGGCGGAGCCGGGGAGGAGCAGGGAGGCCGGCCGAGGCGGAGCGGGGGCGGGGCCCGCAGCAGGTGAAGCGGGGAGGAGGGGACCCGGCTCCCCGGCTGCCCCTCGCCTCCGGGGGTCCGCGGCGCCCCTGCGGCCGGCACCGCCACGGGGCGTCTGCGAGGCCGGAGGGAGGCGAGCGCGGCAGCAGCTGGAGGCTGACGCCTGGGTTCCCGGGAGGGAAGGGCTGGATGTGAGGGCGGGAACCCGCGCACTGGGCTGGTATGGGCCGCGCAAGGAGAGGTCACGGAAGGTCGGGGGCCGGGAGACTGTCTTGGGTTCTAGTTTGTCGTGTTTGGACTTCAGAGAAGGCTGTCCCCCTCCCCAGAGGGGACGGGGTGGGGCGCTGGTCTCAGAGGGGAGCTGCAGCATTGAAGCTGGGTCCCAGGTTGACCTCTGGCCAGGTCCTTAGGGAAGGTCTGAGCGGGCAGGCTGCCTTCCAGGACTCGTGGCAGTGGAAAGAGACGCTTGCAACAGACACCATCAGGGCAACTGGAAGATCCAGATCTGAGGGAGGCACAACCGGGCAGATGACTTGCACCGGAGCTGGGGTGGGAGGAGGGAGCAACCGTCCCTCCCACCCATCGCCTTAAATCCAAGGCTTTCCCTACCAAGGTGGTGGGGGGAGGACTTGGGGACAATGTCTGGACAGAGGGGACTCCGGGACACTCGGATGAATTCTTAGGGCCCCCAGCACAGGCTGGAGTCTGGTAGTCTGGCTGCATCTGGGGAAGGCGCAGCTGCTACAGCCCGAACCTGTCTGTACCTGCCTCAGCGGGAGGGAGGGCTGGTGGCAGGCGGCTCTCCCACAATGCCAAGCAGCCAGCGTCAGGCCAACTCCAGCCAGAGGGAAAGGAGGTGTGTGAGTTGGAGCCAGACACGGCGGGGTGGAGGGAGGGTGGCAGCTGAGAGGAGGAAGAGAATGGAAGAGTGGTGGGCCTGGAGTCATGGAACAATGTGGAGGGGAGCCTGGCCTCGCCTGGTTTTATAGGGCAGTGCGGAGCTCTTGGAGTTCTGACTTCCTGGCCCTCACTGTCTCTCGCCCTAACCCCTTGATGTGGTTTGCACAAAACATCTGTCTCTGCACCTGCTGGGACACTCCAGCTCAAGGGCGAGAGAACATTGGTGTGCCAAAGTCTTGATCCCAAGGCCCAGAGCTCTCAGAAGACCGCCCTTGCTGCCCGGCCTGGCCCCGGGGTGGGGGACGGGGCCTCTGTCTCCTGCAGAGGGGATGCTCTGAGGAGGTGGCCACCCATTCTACTGCTCAAACCGTGTCATAAGGCCTCCTTCTCCCTCTAGGCCTCCTCTCCCTGCCTCTTCTCCTTTGTCAGGGTCAGACCTGGGTGCCGAGAGAGAGAGAGAGAGAGAGAGAGAGAGAGAGAGAGAGAGAGAGAGAGAGACCTCTGCCCGCTGTCCTACACTGCTGCTGGACACTGCCCATTAGGGATGTGGCCAAAGAAGAGGGGTTCCTTAGCTTGCCAAGAAGGGGAGGCAGCTGGCTGGAGGGCGGGGTGACCTTGGAGGCGGCTGGGGGGTGAGGGGGAGGCAGCTTCATTATTGATGAGTCCTGCACCCCGGGCTACTAATGAGCCTAAACCGGCTGCTCTAATTGATGTCAAGAAACTTGAGACCCCCAGATCAGCTAGCCGCCTGCCAGCTGCCTCTCCCCGCACCCCTCCCCCTCCCTGCAACCTTCCCCCCCAGCTGCTCTATGAACTTCCTCCTTTCCTCCTCCTGGCCACGTCCACCAACACAGCCCGTGACAGGCCTCAGGACTACAGGTCACCTCCCCCTGCCACACACTCCTTCCCCACTATGTTCCTCTCCATCATCCTGGTCTCATGGTGGGACCCAGCCTTGTTCTGTGTTCTGGTAGCTTGGGAAATGTGCAAATAAGAACTTAAGAGACACACATAGCTAAGGCTCGCAGCTCAGGGCAGTCAGTTACCCCAGGCGTTTCTGAGCTCAAGGAATTCCTTCCTTATACTGTGCACTGGTGGCTGAGCCCTCCCTCCTCTCAAGATGACTGACGGATGCAGAGACACACGCCTGGCTGAGCCCTGTCTTCACGGCTCTCTTCCCTTCCTCATTTTCTCCCCCCAGCCAGGGCGAGGGGGTTCACATCTGGCCCTTGGCCTCTGCTGGCTGCCAGCTTCATTCTGGCTGGGGAACTCTTGACTTCTGGAGCTTCCCTAGGTAGGGCTGCAGCCACGCCACCCTTGGAAATACCCAGTGTTTCTTGGCCTCTTCAAGCCCCTCCCTCTTCTCTCTTATGGATTCTGGAAGGTCAGTCCAGAGGTATGGAATGTGAAGAAGTCATATACTGGAGTCCTGTCCTGCTAGTTCTCGCAGGAGAACTATCTTGAGGTGATGCAGGCACCACTAGGCCCAGAGTCAGTGAACATCCGGGATGATGGATAGACCTCACATCTTCCCTTCCCCAAATTCCCACTAACTTGTGCCTATGCTGCCCTCTGGTGGCTAAATTCTAGCCCAGCCTGCCCTGGGCGTCTTACCTCCTTTCCCGGCTTTGCTTTGCTGCAGTCTTTTGGGAGGCAAGAGAACCCTAGAGGACTTGCTTATTTTGCCAGATTGCTTTTCAAAGATCCAAACCCTGGGGTATTCTCATTGAGAAGGAGCACTTTCATAGGATCCAGTTGGTGTGTGCTCCGGGGCAAGTTACATAACCTCTCTGGGTGTCCTTGTGTACACAGAATTCGTGGTACTGGCTTGGGGGCAGGCCTTTGCTGCGGCAGCTGAGCTGCTGCTGGGATGCCCTCATTCCCCTTTGAGTGTCTGGGCTTGACAACAGGTTCTTGCCGTCGTACACCCTGGGTGACAGCAGGTGATGATGGCATAGGTACTTTGATTGCCAGCCACCCAGGTGGGAGATCCAGCCCAAGGTTCCAGCTCCTGGCTTCGGCCAGGCTGTGTAGGCATCTGGGGAGTGAAGCAGTGGGTGTGTAAACTGTGTGACATGTTCCTTGCCCAGCACAAGAAAGCTTTCAAAAGAAAACACCGGGCGGGAGGGGGGTTGAAGAGTGGGTTAAGCTGCCTCTCTTGGGGGGGGTGGGGTGGGAGGAATGCCTATACGCCATATGGAATATTGAGTACTGACGCCTCTCCCTCTGATCTAACCTCCTGCCGGGAGGCAAAAGATGATAGCCCAAGTGCTTGGGGCTCCTGCTACCCAAGTAGGAGTCATGGCTTTGGTCTAGTCCAGTCCTGGCTGTCATGAGAACTTGGGGAGTGCACCAGGATGGCAGATCTCTGTTATTCTCAAGTTGATGAAAAGTAATCAACAATTAAGCAACAAAGTCCAAACTGGCTTTTCCTTCCAGCTCAGAATCATGTTTTCCCCCCCCCCCCCCATCTTGCCACTCTGATTTAGGGATGCTCAGGGGGTCCTCTGAGTCATCTCTCCCACCCTCAACTTGGAGCCCCTGTCTGCTTCCCTAATCTCAACTCTCCTCCCATGGGATGCTGGGGAACAGGGTTGGGGTGGATGGACAGAGTGGGGGTTAGGGCGCTCAGGGTTTCCTGTGGGTGCAGGGCTGTTTGCAAGGAGGCTAGTATTCCGGTTTCTTCGGTCAGTGGGGCATGGGAAAGGGTTTATTGCACTTGCAACAGAGTTTAAATAAGTCCAGGGGTGAGGGGTAGAAGGTGTGGGAGGAGGGGAGGGTAAGGAAGGGCAGCGTCAGTGCAGCTGGCGGGCTGAACCCACACCCTGCAGGCCCACAGCCCCCCTTTCTTGGTGGGGGGAGCAGGAGGGCCTGTGGCGGGCCCGGCTGAGGTTCCAGATGGGGGTTGCCATCACAGCCCTTTGCAGAGTCCAGGATAGAGAGCTGGGCCCCGAGGCCCATGCCTGCAGCCGGCTCCCGTGTAGTCCTGGGTCTGCCTGGCATAGGCTATCAAGGACGAGATCAACCCCGGACTCCAGGAGGGGCTGAATACACCAGACCCGCTTGAGTTCTGGTCCCCCCACTTCCTCCCACTGCCTAGTTGGCTTGCGGGACGGCATTGCTCCTCATCTGTCCTGGGAAACCATCCACCGTTAGTGTTCCTTGGCAACCCACCAGGGTGGGGAAGTCCAGAGCTGCCGACTGTTGTCCCCCAGCCCCAAGGGTCCTGGCTGTGGCGGGTCTCCTTCTGGGTCTCTGGCAAGGCCCGGGGATAGCTGTGTGCAGGCCAGCACTGGATGGGAAGTCCTAGGGGGGCCACTCTGGCCCAAGGATTCCGATCAGTTCCCCAGCCATGGTTCCGAGCCGTTTTCTGGACTCTCTCCAGGACATAAAGGTGGCAAGGAGGCCGGGGCTCGGGTCCGCAGGGAGGGCGCGTGTAAACGCGGGTCCTTCACAGTGCGGGGGGCAGGGTCCCCGCTGCGCACCCCCTGTCCCGGCTCCGGCCCTTCAAGTATGTCTCTGGGCGCGGGAGATGAGCTTCTCCGTGGCCCTCAGCACCTTCAGGAGCGCCCAGCCCCCTCCCTGGCAGCGGCCTGCAGGTGGGGGACCGGGTCTTCAGGGTTGGAGTCTGGGATCAGGCGGCCTCAGGCGTCAGAGGTGGCTGGAGGCTTGAGCTGAGCTTTCTCCATGGCGGTGCCGTATGGGAGCGAGCGCTTGAAGAATCCAAGCTGAAGGAGAAGGAAGACCCTTCAGAGACCCCGGGCCCCGGCCCTCACACCAAGAGGGGCTGCCGAGGACCCTAGTGCCCCAGTTTCCCCATCGTGTTGAAGTGCTGTTGTGGTGTAGCAAGATAAGCCTACAACAGCAGAAGCCCACATAGACACCTATTTGAATCCTAGCTGCTCCACTTCCTATCCAGCTCCCTCTCTTAATGTGCCTGGGAAAGCAGCAGAATATGGCACACAGATCCTTGGGCCCCTGTACCCACGTGGGAGACCAGCAAGAAGCTCCTGGCTCCCGGCTTCAGCCTGGACCAGCTCTGGCTGTTGTGGCCACTTAGGGAATGAACCATTGGATTGAAGACCTCTCTCTTTCTATCTCGGTAACCACCTTCCAAATAAAAATAAATAAATCTAAAAAAAAAAGTCCCGAGCAGAGCCGGGACTGGGAAGTTGGTTCACGCTCCAGGGTGGGGTCTGAGTGCCCAACAGAGCAGCTATGACCCTGCACTTTGAAGAATATGGGGGCTGCAAGCGAAGTGACGGCATGCGTGCCCCGCGCTCGCCAGGGCTGGTTATGGTTTCTTTGCAAACAGAGGCCAGATACCACTCTGGATCCAGGGAACTCTCTGAAGTGGGGACTGTGGCTCAGAGGGGTGAGATGGGTGTGGGCAGCCCAGGCGCCCGGGGCACTGAGAACAAGGGGGGGGGGCTGACCTTGTAGAGGACATAGATGAGCAGACCCAGCAGGAGGAGGCCGAAGAGGATGGCGAGGATGATGATCCACAGGGGGACGCCCTGGTTGCCTTCCGCCTTGGTCCACTGCACGGTGGTGGCCACCTGGAGGAGGTGGGGGGGGGGGGTCCCTGAGAACTCAGCCATTCTTCCTTCCCTACACTCGCCGTTGGAGCTAGACCCACCGCCCACCTCTCATGTGGAGCAGATGTAACAGCATTCTGAGCTGAAAAATTGTGTAAGTCCCCGGTGGCCCAAGGGAATAAGCTGCCACTTGTGAAGTTGACTTCCCCGTATCAGAGATATCAATTTGAGTCCCGGCTGCTCTGCTTTCAACCCAGCTTCTTGCTAATATACCTGGAAAAGCAGCGGATGGTGGCCCAAAGGTTTAGATCCCTGGTACCACCCATGTAGGAGACCTAGATGGACTCCAGGCTCCGGACTTCAGTCTGGCTCTCTCATCATCGAGACCATTGAGGGAGGGAATCAGTGGATGGAAGATCTCTATCTCTCACCCTGCTTTGAAATCAGTCAAGTCCTTTATAATAAGGGGCTGGCATGGTGGCACAGTGGGTTAAGCATCCTCTATGGGTGCTGCTGGTTTGAATTCTGACTGCTTTGGTTTGCATCTGGCTCCCTGCTAACATGCTTATAAAAGCAGAAGTGCCCTGGCGTCTGCCCCTGCTGCAGCAGATCAGAAGCAGCTCTTGGTTCCTGACTTAGGTCTGGTCCAGTCCCGGTCCCTGCAGCTATCAGGGATGGAATATCCCTCCGCGCTTCAAATAACAACGTCTTTAAAACAAGCAAGTTCTGGGCCCGATGTGATAGCGTAGCGACTAAAGTCCTTGCCTTGAACACACCGGGATCCCATACGGGTGCCGGTTCTAATCCCGGTGGCCCCACTTCCCATCCAGCTCCCTGCTTATGGCCTGGGAAAGCAATCAAGGACAGCCCAAAGCCTTGGGACCCTGCACCCATGTGGGAGACCCGGAAGAGCTCCTGGCTTCAGGTCGGCTCAGCTCTAGCCGTTTTGGTCACTTGGGGAGTGAACCATTGGATAGAAGATCTTCCTCTCTGTCTCTCTTCTTCTCTGTATATCTGCCTTTCCAATAAAAATAAATAAATCTTAAAACAGAAAAACAACAACAAAACAAACATGTTCCCAAAATATGCTATACTGTCTCTTCCGGCCCTTCACACCACTACCTCTTGCCCAGAATATTCTGTCACTGAATGGTTAGCCTCACTGGTTCCTTCAGGTCTTAGCTTGAATGTCACTTCTTCCAGGAAGTCCTCCAGATCCTGCAAGACTGGGTCCAGGCGTCCCCAGGATGGGTTTTTTGTGGATAGTGCTGTCCTGTCACAGCTTGCCTGCAGACCCTGCTCACCACATCCCTGGCCACAGGGCAGATGTTCAACATGCAGGTTTCAAAGGCCCACCCCAGGTGTAGGGGCAGGGTTGTGAGTCCGCAGCTCCGGCCCCAGACCCACCTGAAGCTCCTTCCGGGGCAGCTGCTGAGGCAGGATCCGGTAGGGCATCCTCAGGGCTTGGTACACCGCTTCACACTGCAGGCTGAACGGCTGGTGCTTCTTCTGGTCAGGGGGAACAGGGGGAAGGGAGAGTCGGGGGTCAGGGGCCCCCACTGCGATCTGGGGTGGTAGGGGCTCCCTGCAGTGTGGCTCAGGTTAGACTCCTTTCCTGAATGTGTCTTAAGGTTCTTCAGGAAAGTAAGTACGGGTTTGAATAATTGTAACTAAGCCATGTATAATCAGATGGCTGTATGTTCCACAAAAGAACAAAACAAAACAAAAACCCTGCTTTTGAATCATGAATGTGGGTTGACAGCCAGGACAACCACTGACCTATCGTGTGGGCTTGGCAACTGACTGGCCTTTGCAACACCCACGTCTGCTTGCCTGTGCACGGTGGATACCCCCTCACCACTCGCGTCCCCACATCTGGCTGCTCCCCCTTAGAATGGGCTGGGAAAGGGAAGCGGTGGCTCCCAATGCAGCCGCTAGGTGGCACCAAACGACACGCAGGCTGGTCTGAACCCTAGCGAGGGAGAGAGAGCGCAGGCCTGGGTCCCCCTCTCTCCAAAGCAGAGAGGAGGAGGAAGGGGATAGGAAAGGTTCCCTCACCTGCAGGAAGGTCTTGGCCCAGACTCGGAAATGCAGCTGCAGGCTCTGGCTCTCCTGACGGTGCAGGGTCCCCAGTTCGCAGCGCAGCCGGAAGCACTCAGTATCTGGGCATTTCTGGAAGGAAAGGAAGAGGCTAGAGTCTGCCATTCTGCCCTCCCGCAGCTCCAAGAGCTCACCTAGGAGCCTGGGGCACGGGCCCAGGCCTCGTTCCCGGGGGGGGGACTCACCAAGATCTGAGGCCCCGAGGAGGCGTGGCTCTTTGTGGGAGCTTCCCGTCTTTTCAGGTGGTGGGGGGCATCCTCGGAGTCCAGCTGGAAGAGGCAAGAGGCCCCAGTTAGGGCAGCCTGCTCCCAGGCTTCCCACTATTTGACTGACACCTCTCACGTGCAAGGCCGAGTTGGTTCCTGGCACTTCCATGGGAGCAGGTGTGTAAATGAATGTTGAGGGTCCTGCTGTTGCCCCCCGCCCCCGGGCCTTTGCACTGCTTTGCCCAGGGTCTCCACAGCTAGGACACCCAGCTGGGCCCTGGTTTCTGAGAGATGAAGTTGGGTCTCCCATCTCCCATAGTGTAGGAGCTTGGCATGCAGGTCACTTTCCCATGTGTCAAGTGCTCTCCTTCCTTGCTTTTTCCCACCTGCCACCCTGCACTGGCACACAAGGCAGGTGGCCATGCCCATGTAGTCAGTGCTGTGCACCCTGAATTCAATGTTGTGGATGAGCAGAGATGATAAAACAGGCCCTGGAGCCTCCGGGGAGAGGGAGGGGACGACACTGGGCTGGGCCTGAAAATATGTTGCAGAGAACTGAGTAAGGGGTGGGAACCAGGAAGGCGTTTAAAGAGGCGGAGGTGCGGACAGCAGAGGTGCCTGCCCTCCCCCGGACTCCAAGGTGCCTGTGGGTGTTCCCTGCTTGTGGGTACCACCTCTCCTGGTCCTGGCCTGGGCCCCCATCCATCTCCACACCATCACCCAGGCCCCTCACCTGCAGGCCCTGTGTGTTGAGGGGGTAGTTGCTGGTGCAGTTGCTGAGGCCGATCACTTTGGTCATGTAGAGGAGTGGCTGACCTTCCAGAGCCTGGGGACAGCTCAGCTCCAGCATGCCCCGGCTAATGGAGCTGGGGCCCAGGTTGATGAGCTGTGGGGGCAGGAGTGGGGAAGAGTGGTGTGAGAAAGAAGGGCTCGCAGCCCGCCTACCCCAGTACCCTGCAGCAGGGCCTGATCCCCTCTAGCCAGTACATTCTTCCCACCCTGGCAAGCTCTGGCTTATCACTGAAGCTGGCTGTCACTCATGTTGGCCCTGCCTCCTCCTCACCTCATAGACGTGGTGCACAGCCGGGCCCACGTCCCCTTCCTCCTGGGGTTGGTCTCGGGGGTGCCAGTCACTTACTGGAAACAGAACCGCCTCAGGCTTAGAGACCCTAAGGAAGGAGGTGGTTTAGATGAGGGCATAGGCGATGCCAGTGTACCCTCCTTTTCTACCCCTCTCCCCAAAAATGCGCTGTGATCAGGAGGAACTGACCCGTTGAGGGAGACCTGTGCCTGAGCCTCCACAGACAGCCGGAAGGAGACCATGTCGCTCTGGGAGTTGTTGAGGTTCTTGCTGTGGGAGGGGTAGAATGAGAAGGCAGGGATCCCAGCCGGGGGAGAAATCCACCTGCCTAGGCCCCGCCCCCGCTTCCTACCTGAGGATCTGGAAGTCAAACTGGATGGTTTTCTTCGTGTCCCGGAGATGAGGGACCGTGAACCGCAGGCCACCCCAGATCTGCAGGACAGGGTGGGCATTGAACCCCGGTCCCAGCCCAGGGTCCCCTGTCCCACCAGCCCCTGCCCTCCTGTCCTCCTGTCCCCCTGCTTACATTGGCTCCCGCCTTCATGGGGTTGCCCAGGTCACACACCAGCCGGCGGCTCTGGTTCACTGCGAAGTAGTCACAGCTCAGGCTGGAAAAGTTCTGGAGGAGGCATGGGTGTGGGTCAGGCTCGATGTTCTCCACCATATTCACTCTCGACAAGGTGCATCCCCCATCCTCTCCCTGCCCTGGCATCCTCTCTCACCCCTGGGTGTCTGACCAGTCCCGAGTACTCCGCCTCCGGAGGGGCGGTGACCCAGAGCTCTGCCTCGTAGGCACCGCCTTCACCCACGTTCTGGGCGTGGAAAGTCAGGTTGAGCGCGTTCTTGTCGCCCAGGTACACGTGTTTCTGCTCGCTGCAGGGGGCACATGGGGCGGGGCGCCAGGGGGTGAGTCCCCAAACCGGGGCGGGGAGTGGCTGCTTCTCCCCGCCCCCCCAGTACAGCTCTGCAGTTGGTGGAAGCTGCTGCTGACTGCCCATGCTCGGGGACTCGGAGGGTTCAGCAAATGTTGGCCAGCTTGCAGTCCCAGCCCCGCGGGGGTCTCCCAGCTCACCCAAACACCTCCAGCTGCAGGTCAGGCACACACACGTTGTCTTCTCCACAGTCCAGCAAGATCTGAACCTGGTGGGGGTGGCCGGGGTGGATAGGGCATTTTTCAGATCCTGAGGGTCCCCCCCAACGGTTGCTGGGCCGTGGGCACCCCCTCAGGCCAGAGCCCTGCCCTCTTCCCACCGGCCTCACCTTGTCCTCTATCCGGCTCTTGCTTTGGTAATGGAGGACCGGCTGGAGGCCATGGCTGTCCACAGGGGCTTGTGGGTCCAGGGAGAAGTTGAGCGCGATGTGAATTGGGGAGAGTTTGTCTCGGAACTCCGACTCGTTCTGGGGCCAGTGGAAAAAGTTCCCAGGGTCACAGGGCTCTGCGGGCCTGGGACCCTGGCTGCTCTGTCTCCCTGCCACGTACACCTGCTTGGTTCCCTGTTGGGGCGCAGTTCTGATCACACTCAAAACGGGCCCCCTTCCTCAGCCGGAGGAGACCCTGGCCCTTCGAGTAGCCTCCCATGGGCTGGCACTGGGGCTCAGCATGTTAAACTGCTGCTTGTTGCAGCAGCATCCCACATTAGAGCAGAGGTTTGGGTCCTGGCTGCTCCACTCCAGCTCAGCTCCCTGCTAAAGCACCGAGGGAAGCAACGGAAGATGGCTCAAGTGCTTGGACCCCTGCACCCATGTGGGAGACCCGTATGGAACTCTGGGCTCCTGGCTTTGGCCTGGACCAGCCTTGGCCATTGAGGCCTTTTGGGAAGTTCTCTCCCTCTCTCTGTCACTCTATGTTTCAAATAAAGGAAATAACCCCACCTCCCTGGTGGCTTTGGGAGAGGCTCCCACCCAGCGCACAGGTGCCACTGGAGCCCTACCCTGAGGTAGATCTTCATCTCCCGGCACTCCTCCCGAGCCCCATTCTGGATGAGCAGGGTCTGGGTCAGGGTGACCTGCTTGGAGGCCAGGAACAGTGCTCGCCGGATTCCTCCCTTCTGCTTCTGCCAGTCCAACTGGAGCTCCACTGCGAAGCCTGCAGCCGGGGGGACGTGCAAGGGGATTCCACTTGGCCCTGGGGGGCGTGTGTGTCTCCCCCCGACACAGCGGCACCAGGTCCCCAGCCCCTCCTCCCCTCCTGCACCCGAGGTCTCCCTCACCGATGGTGTCGGGGACGTGCTTTCCAGAAGCGTTGAGGCAGAAGCTGAGGTTGATGCTGCGAGAACATCGAGGGGAAACATGGAGGCTCCAGCTGGGGCCGGTGTCCTGCCTCCATACCCACCCCACTGCCTCCTGGCCGACTTGGCTGTCCGCGACCCAGGGCAACCTTGGTCGTCCCTCCCACACAGCTCGTGCACTCACCAAGACACTGGGTTCCCCTCCAAGCTGCAGCTGCGCTCCTCGGGGTTGAACATGGCGGGGAAAATCGTGAGGGAAGCGCTGGCAGACACGATGGGGCGGCCCCTGCCAGGCGACAGCAGGTGTGGGGTGGACAGAATCTGAGGCCTCAGTGCCAGAAGGTGGCTGGTTTGCTCCATACCTCCTCACAACACCCCCCAACTCATACCTGTATACCACGGCCTTGTCCACGCCAAAGGACCCAACAATCAGATCTGCAGGAAGCCAAGAGACCCCCCAAATCAGGAGTCTTTCTTTCTAACCCCATTCTAGTTTCTTGTCTCAATCAAACTAAGGTCAGAGGGGACGGCGCCTTCTTGTGGCATTGTCCTAGAACTGCACCCGGGAGCGTAGGCACCACCAGGGAAGGGCCACTCACCAGGGTAGCCGTTGCCATCCAGGTCCCGGCCTCCTCGAAGGGCAGAGCCAAAGAAGTCCGGCGTGTGGCCAGCTGCCCACAGGGGCTGCAGAACCTGGGAAGGCTTAGTGCCCAGCCCCTCTGGGCCCCCAGGGAAGACATAAACAATTCCCTGCCGGGCCTCCCCACCAAAGGGAGCTCCAATGGCCACATCTGGAAGACACACACAAGGCAAAGCAGTCAGCACACCAGGAGGTCAGGGGTCCCAACCTCTCCCACCAGACCACAGAACTGCCCCTGCCCACCGCACTGTCAGTCCCCCTATCATCAAGACCCAAGCACTGGTATATTCAAGTGCCTACCTGCCTAGCTTGCCTGCCTCTCCCACTTCTGCTCCAGGCTCCTGCACGCCCCCAGTGCTCACCATTGTAGCCATCCTGGTCCAGGTCCCCCAGGGGGCTCAAGCAGCTGCCAAAGCGGCCAAACTCATGGTGGCCAGTGAGGGTCAGGGTGGGCGTGGTCTCCATGCCAGCTGGGTTCTGCAGGTAGAGGTAGACCCTGCCCACCTCTTGAGACCGCCCGTCCGCTGTCCGCTCCATGAGCAGGGGTGCGCCCACCAACAGGTCATCTAGCCTGGGGCAGGGAGAGGAGACCTGGGCATTCACAGTTGCTCCCAACCCTAGTGCCGGAAGCGCATCCCAGATCTCTGCCCCCTCCCACCCAAGTCCCAGGAGCTGAGAGGTCTGCGGTCTTGAGCCCCCAGCAAGCAGAAGATGAACACCAACAAGGCCACAGAGCCACATCCTGGGAGGAAAACTCTCCTGGCCCCTCGTCCCAATCCCCTCCTCCCTCTTCGGTCTCCTCACCCATCTCCATTGATGTCTGTGGCAGCCACTGCGTAGCCAAAGTAGGAGGCCATCTGAGGGGAGGACAGGGTGGCAGTGTCGGGTCAGGGCTGAGGCTCGGGTCAGGCTGGGAAGCTGGGAGTGTTGGGGGGGGGGTATCCTCACCTGTTCCCCTGAAAAGTTGTAGAGGGACTGGATGTCCGAGCCGTTAAGGACGGTGACCTAGGGACCGAGGGGACAGGCACATCGGTCTTGGGTTGTGGGACAGTCCCAGGGTTCCCATCTCCCTGGGAGCTCTGGGGTGGGTCCCCAGTTCCCATCTCCGGGCCGGGTGGGTCCATCCCATGGCTGCCTTCTGGTCTCTCTGCCCGCCTCTCACCTGCTACCAACAAATTTTTCTGTCTCCTGCCCATCTCTAGCCACAAGAATGGAAGATGAACAAATAATCTTTGCTCTCTCCCTGGCGCCTTGAGGAGTGCTCAGGAAGCAGTAAGACACCAATAACAGCACACAGAGGTACACTGTGACAGAGTGGATAGTGCCGCTGCCTGCAACGCTGGCATCTCATATGAGTGCTGGTTCGTGGCCTAGCTGCTCCACTTCTGATCTAGCTCCCTGCTAATGTGTCTGGGAAAACAAAAGACGGCCCAACTGTTTGGTCCCTGCACCCACATACAAAACCCAGAACAAGGTCTTGGTTTGTGGCTTTGGCTTGGCCCAGCCCTTGCCATTACAGGTACCTGGAGCAGCGCGGATTGAACCAGCATATGGAGGTCTCTCTGTTACTCTCTTTCAAATAAAAAAAAAAAAATGAATCTTTGGGGCCAGCATTGTGGCATAACAGGTAAAGCTGCTGCCTGCAGTGCCAACGTCCAATATGGACACAGTTCATGTCCTGGCTGCTCTGCTTCCTGTCTGGCTTCTTCGCTTGTGGCCTGGGAAAGCAGTGGAGGACGACCCAAAGCCTTGGGAGCCTGTACTCATGTGGGAGACCTGGAAGAAGCTCCTGACTTTGGATCAGCTCAGCTTCAGTCGCTGTGGCCATTTGGGGAGTGAACCAGTGCATAGAAGATCTTTCTGTTTCTTCTCCCCATAAATCTGATCTGCCTTTCCAATAAAAAGAAATAAATCTTTGGGGCCAGCATTGTGTGACAGCTAAAACTGCTGCCTGCATTGCCAACATTCCATATGGGCATCAGCTGAAACCCCAAGTACTCCACTTCCCATCCAGCTCTCTGCTAATGTGCCTGGGAAAACAGTGGAGGATGACCCAGGGGCTTGGGTCCCCGCCACCCATGTGGGGAACCAGGAAGAAGCTCCTGTTCCCTGGCTTTGATCTGGTCCAGCCCTGGCTATTGCAGTCCTCAAGGGGAGTGAACAAGCGAGCAGGTGGACAGATCTCTCTAGATCTGTCTCTCCCTCCCTCCTTCTCTCTAAGTTTGCTTTTCAAAGAAATAAATTAAAATTCCCCAAAACCAAACCAACACAACACAAAGCTCCCATCACCTCACCCCCCACCTTTAGCCCCAGCAGTCCTAGTTCCTGTGATGATGGCTGGGGGCCTCTCCCAGGACATGGGACAGCTTTCGCTTTCATCTGCGCCCCTTTGCCCACCCTGTGGCCAGACTGCCCTCCATGGACCGAGGACAGCTGCATCTGGCCCACTGCTTGGAGCCTCAGGCTCTGCACCGGCTGGCCCCGCCCTCTCGGTCTCTGCTCAGTCTTTTACTCTTAGCCCTGCCCCCCGCAGGAGCCTGCAAGCTTGGTCCAAGATTGGCTTCATCTCTGCCCACCTGTCACAGAACCTTCTCCCACCTAGCCCCTCTCTAGAAAGGAAATTTTCCTTTCTCGACTCTGCTGTCACAATTATTCGGGAAATTATCAGAGCAGAAAGAATACTGATTTTGGAACAAGACAGACCTGGTTCTAAATATTTACCCATGGGGCCAGTGTTTACGGCGCAGTGTGTTAAGCTGCTGCCAGTGGTGTTGGCATCTCCTTATGAGCTCTGGCTGCTCCACCTCCCCTCCAGCTCCCTACTTCTGTACTTGGGAAAGCCGTGGAGGATGGCCCGAGTGCTTGAGCCCCTGCCACCTACAAGGGAAACCTGGAAGAAGTTCCTGGCTTCCAACCATACAAGCTCCAAGCAATTGAGGCCATTTGGCGAGTCAACCAGTTGATGGGATACCACTCTGTCTCTCTTTGTAACTGTCTTTCAAATGAAAAGAAATAAATCTTAAAAAAAAAAAAAAAAGAAAGAAAAAAGGGCTGACACAGTAGGCTAGTGGCTAAAATCCTTGTTCTGCATGCCTGCCAGGATCCTATATGAGTGCTGGTTCATATCCTGGCTGCTCTACTTCCCTTCCAGCTCCCTGCTTGTGGCCTGGGCAAGTAGTCGAGGACGGCCCAAAGCCTTGGGACTCTGCACCCACGTAGGAGACCCGCAAGAAGCTCCTGGCTTCAGCATAGCCACGTTTAGCCATTGTGGCCACTTGGAGAGTGAACCAGCAGATGGAAGATTTTTCCCTCTGTCTGTCCTCTCTGTAAATCTGACTTTTCAATAACGATAAATAAATCTTTAAAAAAAAAAGGCAAATTAATCCATAGAAGCCATAGAGGACAGTGCCTGTCGCACTGGAGGGGACTCCTCCTTCAATTAGAATCAGGTGCATCTGGGCTAGCGGTGCCTCATGACACGGTGTGTGAGGTCCTGGTCTCCTTATCTCTCACCTGGCCTTCGTAAGGTTGCAAATGTGACACACTCTTAGGGCACTCTTATCTGTATGCTTTTTAAAGCGCTTGTCAGGATCTAATAATAACAAGACCAGCTGCGCCTGCCGAGCCCTTCACCCCGGCGCTTATCTCATTCCATCCCCATGAGGGCTGTGTGAGCTCAGAACTATTATTACCCCATTCTACAGAGAAGACAAGGCTCCCAGAGGCGAAACAGGAAACAGGCTACAAAGAAAGAACACAATGTCCCCTCCACAGCAAGTGCCAGAACTCGAACCTAGGTCAGCCCAAACCTCCCAAATCCCGCTGTGTGGTCCCAGTCGCAGGCCCGGGGCAGGTGGGAGGTCGGGACTTACATAGCCATAGGTGAAGTTCCCTTTTGGCACGCCAGCAACAAAGTCTGCAGAGAGAAGCGAGGCGGTGGGTGACTGTCTCCGTGCCCGCGTCTTCCCCCCCTTGCCACCTCCCTTAGCCCAGTCTGGCGACACACTCACCTTCGGTGTTATCCCTGCTGAATTCACCCACGGCCACGGAGTATCCTGGGAGGTCAGGACACGGGATGTTAGCACTTCTGGTCTGGCCCAGCCCAGACTCCCTCCTTCAAACCCCTTACAGTCACCCAATGGGTGGCATGGAGGGCTCAGGAGCTGGCAGAGTGGGAGTGGACGTGGCAACTGAGCCCTCCCCCCGCGCTGGCTCACCCAGGTAGCTGTCGTCGTACATGGAGTCGGCCTGGCGCGTCTGCAACTGGCCCTGCACCAAGTTGATGAGGTACTCGGGGTAGTAAGACTCTGCAATCTGTTCCTGAGTGGCAGACAGGATCTGGCCTGGGGAAGGGACGGGGAGGGTGTGGCTGGAAGGGCGGGTGGCAGGTGGCAGGGATGTGGGGTGCAGGGGGCCCCAGCTGCGCAGGAGATGAGCAGTCTGGTTCGACAGGAGTGTGGAGAGTAGCAGGATGGACGTGCGAGGCTGAGGAGAGGCAGAGGGGGACCAGGACGGGGAGGAAAAGTGACTCCCACTGCAGTGTGGCGAGGAGGCCCCATGCCAGGCACTCCAGGATGGCAGGGAATAATTTACCTTGCCAGAAGTAGCTCCCGGGGCCTCCTATGACCACACGGCCGGTCTGCGGGTAGAAAGGAACTAGGTCCAGCATCCGGTCCCTGACCTCCCCAGGGATCCCTCCCACCCACGACCCCCTTCCCTCTCAGCTCACCCCCTTACCTTGGTGAACTCCGCACTGAAGCCCCCCTGGCAGTACCCCTGTCCTGCCGCCCAGCTGAAATCTGTGAGGAAGATGGTGGTGAGAAAAGCGGCCATGGGCAGGGAGCCGGCAGAAAAGGGGCAGCGGACAGTGGACAGAGGGTTCACACTGCCTGGGGAGTTTGGGGGGAAGAGCATCTGCCTGGGCACAAGGAGATGTGGCTCCCAGAGGAAGCAGACACGCCTACCTGAGCGGCAAGGTGCGTACTCCAGGATCCGGGTGAAGTTCTCTGTGGAGAGGTAGCAGGTGCCCACGGGGTCGCTGTGCGGCTCCTTCTCTGTGCGCCAGCTGTACATTGGGGCGCAAGCCTGGGAGAGCCCAGCAGGGGGCGCTTCAGGGCCGGTCAGGGAAGGCCCCTCCTCCCTCCTTCCAACACCCCAACACCCCAACATCCCCATCACACACATCCTCCCCAGCCAGCCGGGCCCCTTACCAAGATGGAGGAGCCATGGGCTCGAACCGTCGCCCCGAACCACTGCCAGGACTTGTACTCTACAGCCTCCTCTTTCTCATCTCCAGACACGGAGGGATCCAGGACGCGGGGGCCTTGGGAAAGTGAGAAGGGGACTGAGCTCTCATCCCTCACTGGGCAGGGGCGCAGGCACGGAGCTGCAGACTGCTGTGCACGAGGGCACCCCATCCCGGGCTTCAGGAGCTGTCTCCCCCTGCTCCCTCTGTCTCCTCACCCAGCTGTTCCCTTGGTGGGGGGCAATGGCTGATGCCCAAGAGTAGCCCCCTGCTGTACTTCTCAAGCACTGAGAGGTAGAGAGGGAGAGCAGGGGCTCCCGTGTGCCAGGTCTCTTTCAAATGCCTTTGTTGCTGGAACTGGTTAGGCTGAAGCTGCACATGGGTGTCAGCTCAATCTAGATCTCGTGTGTGTATGTGTTTGCATGTGTAGTGGAGGTATGGATGTGTGGGGACCCTGCTCCTCCATCCCTCATGCCTGTCTCCCAGGGTGTGCGTTAGCCTGAATCTGGAGACAGGAGCTACAGCCGGCTCCGGCTCACGTAGTGTGATGCAGGATGCACGGTTTCTAACCAGCACCTTCAGCACTGGGCTAAGTGCACACCCAACTGATTATAAAAAAAAAACCATATATTTAATGGGAGTTTTTAATTTAAAGTGCAGTTTTTGGTTTACAGCAAAATGGAGGAGGGGTGGGCAAGTCCAGAGGGTTCCCACAGGCTCTCCCCTTCGAACACACACCCAGTGTCCCCTGTCATTAAGGCTCAAGTTACCATGCCACACTGGTTACAGCTGATGAGCCCACACCCACTGCACGGTCTCCCAGGGCAGTATGCAGTGCGCACGGGACGCTCGCTCTTGCTGCTGCGGTCCCCTGAATGGCTACACCGGCAGGAACGTGTTCCATCTCTTTTTAAAACATCATTTACTTTCATTGGTATTTGAAAGTCAGAGAGAGAGAACAGAGAGATTGTCCATCCACTGGCTCACTCCCCAGAGCCAGAGCCAGGCCAGGCTGAGGTCAGGTGGCTGGAACACCACCCAGCTCTCCCCTGTAGGTGGCAGAAGCCAGGGCGTGTAGTGGGGATGCGTCCTGCAGCTGGGACTTCCTGAGAACACACCCCGAAACTGTGTGCAGGTGCCCTGCACCGCAATGCCAGCACCTGCCTCGCTTCTTGATTTTTTTTTCTCTCTTCAAGGCCATTCTATTATAATCCCTCACTAGATCAGCCTTGCTCATTCCTCTGACACTCATCCAACTCCGTCTCCAATGGTCGAGAGCTGGGCTAGATGGAAGTTAAGAACCAGGAACCCATCCAAATCTCCCACCCGAGTGGGTGCAGGGGCCCCACAACTGGGCCGTTCTTTGCTGCCTCCCCAAGCACATAGGCAGGGAGCAGGTTGGGAAGTGGAGAAGCCGGGAATTGAACTGGTGACTCTGGAATGCTGGCATGGCAAACAGAGGCTTAGCCCACATTGCTACAACAAGAGGAGAGGTGGGGGTGGGTAGGCTTTTTTCTTTTTAAAATAAAGATCCACTCATTTTTATTGAAAAGGCAGAGCTACAGAACAAAGAGAGATCTTCATTGGTTCACTCCCCAACAGGCACACGGCCCGAGGTGGGCTGGTCCTAAGTCAGGAGCCAGGATTTCCTATGTGGATACAGGGGCCCAAGCTGGATGGGAAATGGAGCAGCTGGGACTGAAATCTGTGTCCATAAGAAATGCCAGCACTGGGCCTAGTACAGTAGCCTAGCAGCTGAAGTCCTCACCTTGCACACGCTGGGATCCCATATGGGTGCCAGTTCATATCCCAGCAGCCCTGTTTCCCATCCAGCTCCCTGCTTGTGGCCTGGGAAAGCAGTCAAGGACGGCCCAAAGCCTTGGGACCCTGCACCTGTGTGGGAGACCTGGAAGAAGTTCCAGACTCCTGGCTTGGTATCAGCTCAGCTCAACTCTGGCTGTTGCGGCTCACTTGGGGAGTGAATCATTGGATGGAAGATCTTCTCTGTCTCTCCTCCTCTCTGTATATATGGTTTTCTAATAAACATACAAAAATAAATCTTTTTAAAATGTGACAGCGCCGCAGGCACAAGCATGGTATGCCATGCCATTGCACTGGCCTCTCCCCCTAAGCCTTTGAAAGGTAATTCTCTGGATTCTCCTTCCTCACCTCCTGCATCTACTTTTTTTTTTTTTTTGCCGTCCCCTGACTCGGCTCTATCTCGGCCTGCTCCAGTTCACCTCCTGGTCCCACTGCTGGTAGCTGGGTGACCTTGCTTCCTTACATATAAAACAGCTGTTGAAAGGATTAAGTGAGTTCATGGATGCAAAGAGCTCCCCAAGCACGCCTAACGTTGCAAGGGCCCTTCAAGTGCTAGCTGATAGTGTCAGTTTCCCGTTGCCTGCCAGCCCGTGGCTGCCCGTGCAGACTGAGTTCCTCGAGGGCAGTGGCTGAGTCATTCCGGGTGCCCGGGGGCGGGGGGGGGGGGCTGCAGGGTTGCTAGCTCAAGTCTACCCCGTTCTTTGTGTTCCCGCCCTGGCCTCCCCTGGCTGCGGGTGATTCAGGGGAAATGAGAGCCACATGTTTCTGAATCATGCCCGCCCTCTTGGGGCTGGGCCGGACTGGGAACGTGGAGTAAGTGCCACGAGGGAAAAAAAAGAAAAAGGCATTGCAATGAGCCGGAGCCTGCGGGAGCTGGTGCTGGGAGAGCGAGCACGTGGCGGCGGCGGGGGTGGGGTGGGGGTACCTGGGCGGGCCCCACTCGGGTCCCGCCCCTCCGGCGACAACCCCGCCCCCAAGCCCTCCCCGGGCTCGCCCCGCCTACCTTTGCTGTCAAATTCGATGGGTGTGCACGGCGGCGTGGGGCTGGCGGCCCAGGGACACATGTAGACAGCACCACCCTGCAGCACTCCCGGCTGGCTGGTGTTGGCTTTGGGCGCTCCCACCAGCACACTCACCCTGTGCGGGAATAGGAGCAGGTTGGATCAGGGCAGGACCTCAGCCCTCTCTGGGCCCAGGCTGGCTGGGGGGCGCTGGGGGAAAGAGATGCCCCTTGGGTTGTATTTATAACTCAGAAGATGCCACGGATGCCAGAGACACAGGCTGGAGCCAGGCGGTCCCCATGTGCCGCTGTCACTAACACAACCTCCCCCTCCTCCTCCCACCACAGTCTGTCTTCTCCCACCTTTGCCTGTCACCCCCGCTCCCGGCCACCGGTCCTTCACCCCGCCGCCAAGTTGAGATGTGCAGGGCTCTCCTCTCGCTCAGCTTGAACCCTTTTGTCCCAAGCCCACGCCCTTCCCTGAGCCGAGCCCCAGGCGTCCTGCTGCTAAAGCTGCCCAGCCTTGGGGCGTGTGGCAGGAAAATGTGAGTCTTGGAAATCAGGCAGCAGCAGGCATGGAGAGAGAAGCTGGAGCTCGGACAAAGCGGACTGCTCCCCAGGGCCCAGGCCTACCCTCCTCCCGGGGCTGGGGTGGGGTTCTGTCAACCCCTGAGATGGCATTCAGGATGTGCTCCTTGGCACGGTAGGGGCATGGCATCGCCATTCTCCCCAGACCAGCACGTGTTTGCTTCCAAGGGGGCTTCCCAGGTCTCCGGGGGGTTACAGCAAAGGTGCTGGGAATCTTTTCTCTGCCTCCCCCTTGCCCAGGTCGTCTGCCTCCATGACCTTCACACACCTCTTGGTGCTTGTGGCCTGTTCCCCCAGGCTCCCCAGTGGTGCTGACCGTCACATCTGGTAGGCTGGGCCACTCAACCTGGCTGCTGAGCCGATGGGTGTCTCTGCGGGAGGCCGAGGTCTTGGCTGGACTCCGTGAGTGCCACTGCCCTGAGCTACTATAACTGCTCGCTCCCTTGGCTTTGGTTTAGGAGTCCCTAACTTCCCTCTTGCTGTCAGAACCATCCCTGTGGCTTTTCCTGTCCCCTCTCAGCTTTCTGAACCCCAATGCCCATGGTCCCTGATGTGGGGGTGGCTCCTTCAGTTCCCGTCTAGGGACTATGAAAGACCCTACAAAAGCTGGCAGGGACGGGAGCAGCTCCTCCAAGAGAAGCAGGTACACCAAGAGGGGCTTGGGGGATGGAAACAGCTGAGAGAGCAAGTGCAAGGGGTGTGAGGAGAGAAGTCTATGAGACTGGGGGAGAAGAGCAGCCAGGTGCAGGGGAACAGGATGGGGAAAGGCAGGGGGAGAGAGTTCCTGAAGTTAGAGAGGGTGGGGAGGGGAGGTGCCAGCCTGTTATCCTGGGGACAGGAAATGTTTACAGCCTGTGGCTTCCTGTCTATTGCCAACCTCTCACTTCTCCGTTTGTCTCCCACCCACTGAGCCCCACCCCTCTCCCTCATGCTTTAGCTTGGGGCGGGAATAGGCAGCAGGCCGTGCCAGAGGCACAATGACCAAATCCAGAGGGTGAGGCTGCTTTGTCCAGAGCTGGGGGAAACTGAGCCACAGAACCTGGCGGAGAAGGCTGCTGACCTGAAGTGGGGCCACAGCAGCCATGTTCCAGGAGGCAGGACCAGGTCTGGGGGTGGGAGTGGGGGAGCTGGGGTTCTGGCTCTACCCCAACTCAGAGTACTGGTGGCAGCACCCTTTCTACTTCCTTCTGGATTCCAACCAGGTGTCCTACAGCCCAGGGCTGAGGCCAAGGGACCCTGTTCTTCTCTCAAGCTTTGACTTCACCTGCTCTTGGGTTATGACTATGCCTGGACACCCAGTCTCTCAGCCCCACAACTCCAGTGTGTACAGTCCACGGTCTGTCCACCCAAGCAGGATGCCTTGGAAGCTGGCTCATCCTCATACATAGCCATTTCTGGCTCCTGTAACCTAGCAGGCCACTCCTCTTAGAGGCCCAGGAAGGTGACAAAGCAGAGTCTTGGTGCTCTTTCTCAGTATTTCAGAAAGCCCGATGGAAATCATGTATCTGCTTGGGTCAAGCGGCCTGGGCTAATTAAAACATCAAGTGTATCTGCTTTTTGGCTGGAATTAGACAGACTCACACAGAGACACTGGCCGTCATGCTGAGCACAAACTCTGGCGATGGATGTCTTTTGGTTCATAGGAAATGATAAAAGGAATTCATCAGCCCTTACTTTACAAACTGGGAAAATTCCAGGGAAGTTAACGCACTGCCCAGCATCTCTCAGAATACCCACCACCCACCCCCAGCCAGGAATCCTGGTTCCTAGGCCGGCCATTGCCAATCTATTGCCTTCTTTCCTGTATCTGTCCAGCCAGGCTGCTGATTAACCAAACCCCTGTTCAATACTCGGTTACTGTTTGACTTGGTTGGCCTGACAAGGTTGGGGGGCAGGGGATGGACACGGGTCCAGCTCTTGTGGGACTGACAGCAGCACTGGCCAGGCTCAGAGAAGAGCACTGGTGCCAGATCCTGCGTGCCTTCACAAACAAGGATGTGCCAGGCCTGCCTCCGGCTGCTCAGCCCGCCTTTTCTTCCTTCAAGCCCCGAGTTCTCCATTCATAAAATGATGGGGTGTCCTCAAACAGCCGCTGGAGGAGTCCCATGACAACGAGTTCTAGTTCTCAGTTTCTTTGACTTGAAGGCTCCGATTTTTGCAGGCGGCCGATGAGTAGTTCAACTTGGGCTGGTTAACACAGGCTTTCTGTAACAAGTAATGCAGCCACTGATGGGAGAGTGCTAGGGGAATGTGAGGGATGGTTCTATCATCATTGTCATAAGCAAGTACTAAAAGCCAGTAGGAATGGGTGGAGGGGCGGAGGGAGAACCTAAACAAAGAACTAGGTGGTGGCCAGGGAGAAGAAAACCAGAAACCGGAAGGCAGCCACCCCATAAAAACTCTGCCAGACCTGATGCCCCTGTGTGGACCAGGGAGGGTCGGTCCACACAGTGCTCCATTTGGTCCTTAGAACAGCCACTCTAAGTCAAGTGTCTGATTTTCAAGAGAAAATCAGGATCCTGGGGTTCAAGTAACTTGGCTCTGGTCACAGCAAGGAGTCAGTGGTGAGATGGATAAAGTCACAATTGGTGACACCTGCACCCCGTATGGGTGGTGATATGAGTCCGTCCAGCCATTCTACTTCTGATCCAGCAGGGCTGATGGCCCAAGTCCCTGGGCCCCTTCCGCCCATGAAGGAGACCTGGAAGAAGTTCCTGGCTCCTGGCTTTCCCAGCCATTGTGGCCACCTGGGGAGCTAGCTCACCATCAGATGAAAGCCATCTCCCTCTGTCTTTCCCTCTCTCTGTAACTCTGCCTTTCAAATAAATACAAAATAAAACTACAAAAGAATGCGTCAGTGCTCGCAGCACTGCCTGAGGTCTGGCCAGGGGGGGCCTCTATGATGCTTGCCATGTCCTGTCCTGTCCTGTCCCGTCCTGTCCTGGTCTGTCCTGTCCTGTGGCTGTGGGTGTCAGGTGTGACAGGTGATGCAGGAGAGGCCAAGGGCAAAGGTCCTCCCTCTCTGGCAATGGCCCTGGCCAAGGAGCTCTGTCAGCCTCCTGTGGAGGCAGGTCCAGTAGTGGTGGGAGGGAGGTCCCTGGGGAGGTGGAAGGTTCTGGGCCACACTGGAAGGCGGCATTGCCAAGAGCTAGTGCAGGCTGGACTCCTGGGATCCCTGGGGAGTGGGGGGGATCTTGTTTAAGAAGACAGTTTAGGGACTGCAGCATCCGGCCAAGAGCCAGACAGACACCTAGGGAGCCAGGAGCTTGACAAAGTGCAGATGTCTCAGAAGAGTGTTTGAAAGAGGGCCACTCCTGGGTGGAGTGGTGGAGGGCAGAGGGGAAGGTGAAAAGCCACACACTAGGCACCCTCATCTCCAGGCCCTGCCTGCCCCCGCTCCTCCATTAGGGTTGTGGTAAAGAGTCTGAGCGGACTCGGGGGGTGGCCAGGCCTGACAGGGGCTCCAGGACAGGGTGACGCAATGGGGTTTGGGCAGGAGGCCAGGGGGGTGGGGTGGGGACGTTGAAAAGCCCAGCACCAACAGCTGGGGACTAACTACCCTTCTTTCTCCCCCCTTCCAACCCTAAATCCTACATACAAAGGTGAACCCTGCCTCCACTTCCCCCTCAATTAGCTAGATGAAGCCCTCCAGAATGAGACAAGGATTGGAGGTCCAACAGTTGAGTGGATCATATGTGCAAACAGGGGCTGTGTGCACGCGGAGACCCTGGGGGGTGGGGCATTACTCCAGAGAAGAGGACACCATCAGGACTCTGCCATCTGGGATCCCTGAGCCCTTCTCTGCAGACTTCCCAATCTCCCGCCTTGTTCCAAAGCCGCCTCTAACTCCTACTTGCACCCAAGCCTGTGGGCACCCGTTTTCCTGGCACCCAGGGTCCGAGTCTGTTCATCAGCTGGCTGAGTAGGGAACCAGATTCTCCTTGGAGGCTTCTGGAGGTCCTGGATCCCTGGTTCTGACTCCTGGCCAGAGACCTGGGAGAGTCGCGGGTTTCCAAGTTTCTAACTGAAGTGCTAGCGCTCCCGGACTCAGTTCAGCTCCAGCCGGCCGACAAGCTACAGGAAATCAGCTTTTCTCTTCCTCCCAAGAGCTGGAGGAAGAGGGAACCGGCCCACCCCCTCCACGCGCTCACACACGCCCCTCCCGACACGGCCGCGCACCCGCCCAGGGCCGAGCCCGCCCCCAGCCCCAGCAGCCCCCATGGCCAGGGTCCCCGGACTCTCCCTCCAAGATCTCAGATCCCCGCATCGGAGCACATGCGGTGGAGGATGAAGGGGAAAAGGCCTGGGGGGCAACCTAAGAGAAAGGAGAGGCAATCGCCGTCCCCTCCACGGGTCTTGCCCAGTCTGAGTTGAAGGGGGAGGGGAGACCAAGGCTGGCCCCCACTTAACCTTCTGACCCCCTCGGTCTCTGAATCCCCTCCCACTTTACGCGTCCCCTAAAGCTCCAACCCCCTTTCCCTCTCCGCACAATGGCCCATGGGTCTTGAGATCTCCTAGTGCCCCCCAGAACCCCTCCAAGGCCTCTGCACCCCCAACCGAAGACCCTCCTCTCCTGGTCCCCGCGCTCTCCCCTCCCTTGGCCCTGGGACCCCCGATTGAGACTTCCCCAGCTCCCAGCTTTGCGACGCCTCCAGACACAGCCAGCTCTGCCTTCCGATCCCTCGCCAGCCCCTCCACGCCGGCCACGGCTCCCCCCGCCACCGCCTCGGTCCACGAGCGCGGGCCCCCAGCTCCAGCCCGGTCCTCTCCAAGCTCCGCCCTCCAACTCCGATCCCCCCCCTCCTGCAGACCCCAGCCGCGCCCCCCAACTCTCTGAGCCGCCCCCACCTCACTCTTCCCCGCCACGACCCCCTCCTCACTCACCCCTCCGTCCCCGGCCGGTAAAACTCCACCGAGAAGCCGAAGAAGGAGCCCAGGGGCCCAGAGAGCACCGCCGGGGCCTCCGCGTCTAAGTTGAAGCCCCCGACCCGGGGCGGCGGCAGCAGCAGCAGCAGCAGCAGCAGCGGCGGCGGCGGCGGCAGCGGGGGTCGGCGCCGGGGGCCCCAGCGCAGCGGCGCGGCGTGGAGACGGGACCCTGGCGCCCGGCTCCCCATAGCGCCCGCTCTTCCCTGTCCTGGGGCCACCGACCCGGAGCCGCTTCCTAAACCTCCCAGAGGCGAATGACTCAACGCGGGGAGGAGTTTGCCAAACTCCCGGCTGGGCCCTCCCCCCGCCTGCAGAGGGGGCTGGCGGGGGGGCATTCCTGGGTTCCCGGGGACGCCGAACCCGCGCCCTGCACCCCGCCCCTGCTCGCGGCCCCCAAGGGGCTGCGAGGGTCACCAGCCACCTCCAGCCAGCCCTCGCCCCGGTCCGGAGCTGGACGCCGGGCGTCCCCACTGGGCCCGGCTGGGCGGGCTCGGGCCCTTCCCCTCCTCGGCTCCCCCTCCCCCGCCCTCCTTTCCAGATGTACAACGTAAACGCTCGGAAAAGGAGTCGGAAAAAGGGAGCGGAGAATTTCCTAATGAGGAAAGAAATCACCTCCAGAGGGCGGGAGCCTGGGGATGGTGTATGGGGGTCTCCCGCGCTCGCTCAGGACCCAGGGAGCCGGGAGACAGCGGCTGGCGGCCGGCCAGCTGGGATTCCCCTGGCCTTCCGGGGCCACCACCGGGGGGCCTGGGTGCTGGCCAGTTGGAGTGAGGACTTAGGGGACTTAGGAGCACTCCCGGCCAGCCCTGATCTGGGGGAGCTTGCATGGGATCCTCGATTCCGGCTGTTCACCCCTCCCCGCCCCCCGCCGCATCCGCCCTTTAACACCCAGAGGACACAGCAGGACCGAAACCCCCGCGGTTTGGACAATTCTGCCCCAACTCTCGGGCTCCTCCTTAGTGAGATGTGGAAACTGCCTAGCTTCTGCCTCGCATCTGGCAGCTGACGGAGAGAGCCTAGGAGTGGTAGCCTCTTCAGTATCTTCCTCAACCTCAGGGTCTGTTTCCTTGCAGAGCCCTGAGGAGTGCTGGGGTGCAGGGGATGGGGCGGTGGTGGGGACGAGCCTTCAGCATCCAAGGGCAGGAGCTCGGGGAGCCGGTGGGACAAGGGATGGAACAAGGAGTGTGCTGGTGGAAGGAGAAGGTGGAGGAAGGGACTCCGGCCTGGAGAAGCAACGACCCCCTGCCCACCCCTTCCCCCAGATGTGGCTCGGCAGGATGAGGTCACCTTTCTGGATTCTACTCTTTATCGCGGTCTTGGGGGAGGGGGACCAAGGGCCTAGAGTCTCAGCTCACCTCCTCTCCTTCCCCCCAGACCCCTGCCTGCTTTTTTTCCACCACCAAGACTCCAGTCTCAGAGGCCAGGCCTAAATGTTGTTTTGTGTCCAGCTCTGAGGTGGGGAGGGCTGAGAATAAACGTGCGCCACGCCCCTTCCTCTCACTCTGCTACTCTACTTCCTGTCGCAGTCAACCAGTGGGTTGATTAAAAGTCCTTAGCCACCTTGAGCTGTCTCCCTAGGGAGAGGTGGGCTGCTCGGTGGAAGGGTGATGCTGGCCCCAGACCCTTTCTTAGATGAGGAGCCCAAAGAATCCCCCAAGGAGAGCTTCCAAGAGGTGACTTGCTCAAAGCTCAAGGCTGGGAACCCCCTTTTGGGAGGAGGTCTCAATGTTGTGTGAATCAAACTCTTTCTCCCTTTTCCCAATCCAGGCAAGCTCTTGAGATTTTCCCAGGATTTGCAAACTCGGGGGTGGGGGGGCAGAGAGGGAGGTGTGACTCAGCTCCTCCCAAGAGCCTTGGAGGGGGAGCGGAGACACAGTGTCCTGCCCCAGTTCTCCTGCCCTTCTCCACCCTCGCCACCCCCAGTTTGGCCAACTCAAACAGATGCCCTCCCTGTCCATCCCCTGCTTCTGTTTATACCGGGAGCCCCTTAGTCATTCCCTGGCTGGCTTTCTTATTCTCCCCAATAACACTCCTCTCTTGGCTCTCTCTGCCCTTATAAGTCCTCGCCCAGTGGCCCCAACACCTCCTGCCTTCCCACTCAACATGTTTGCCTTTCTCTGGCACTCCCTTCTTTTGCTTTGGGCTGGACCTGATCTTGGGGTGCTCTTTTCAGTACAACCCTCCAGGCCTGGGACCAGCAAGGGGCCTGGCATTGTGGTCCTGTGAGTTAAGCCACTACTTGGGACACTGACATTCCATCTCAAGGGGCTGCTTCGAGTCCTGACTACTCAACTTCCCATCTAGCTCTCTGCTAATGTGCCCGGGAAGACAGTGGATGGATGGTCCAAGCGCTTGGGGTCCTGAAGCCTGTGTGGGAAACCTAGATGGAGTTCCTGGCTCCTAATTTTCATCTAACTCAGCTTGGGCCAAGCCCTGGCTGTTGTGACCATTTGGGAAGTAACCTGGCAGATAGAAGATCTTTTTTTCGGTCTCTCTCTCACTGCCTCTGTCACTCTTCCTTTCAAATAAGTACATTCTTTTTTTTTTTTTAAAGATTTATTTTTATTATTTTTTTTTTATTGGAAAGGTGGATATACAGAGAGGAGAGACAGAGAGGAAGATCTTCTGTCCGATGATTCACTCCCCAAGTGAGCGCAACGGCCATGCTATGCCAATCCGAAGCCAGGAGCCTCTTCTGGGTCTCCCATGCGGGCGCAGGGTCCTAAAGCTTTGGGTTGTCCTCTGCTGCTTTCTGAGGCCACAAGCAGGGAGCTGGATGGGAAGTGGGGCCGCCGGGATAGAACTGGCGCCCATATGGGATCCCAGGCGTGCAAGGCGAGGACCTTAACCACTGCGCCACCGCGCCGGGCCCAAATAAGTACGTTCTTAAAAAGAAAGAAAGGTCAGCTAGCTAGACCAGGGTCCCGAACAGGCACCCACCCAGTCTTGTTTAGTAGAGGAATGTGTGCAGAGAGAGGAACGGATTTAGCTAAGGACCTAGGGTTACCCTGTTAGTGGTGAGCCCTGCAGCTTAGTGTTCATTCCAAGCCCAATGCCCTCTTCTCTCAGCCTACACCCCATGAGAATCTGCCTCAGCCTCTTCTGTCTTGTGAATGTCTCCACTTGTCTCTATCCTAGCCTGGATACTTCTGCTTTCTTTCTCAGCTCTGACCTGTCTACCACTCTGGGTCCTTTCATCACTCAGCAGAAATTATTTGCTGTGATGATTGACTGTTATTAATGTGATCTGTTCAGGGAAGGGGGAGGGGTGAAGGGCAAGCCCAGGACACCCAGTGGGCTCCTACAGTCTTGCCTGCTCGCCCTCAGGGCTGGAGTTTCAGAACCAGAAGAGTGAAGTTCTTTAGAAGAAGTCAAGATACAGGTGCTTCCACAGCTTTGGGTGGGGAGTGTTATCAATGACTTATTTAGCAAATGCTTTAGGCTTGGCTCCGAGATTGACCTTTAACCTGCCTTCCCATTTAATCTTCCCAGCTACCTGGCTCTGAAAGTATCAGTGATTTTCATTATATGCCTCCAGGAAACTAACACACACAGGTGGGGAAGTGACTGAACCAAGATGAACAGAAAGAATGGGGGTCCAGGTAGAATGGAAATCTAGTCACAGTGGATTCCCAAATCTTTGCTTCTCCTGTTGCATGGTTTGCTCACATATCTGGGTTTCTACAAGGAGGGAAGACTCTAGGGCAGAGATCTTCATCTGTACCCATTGTCCTGTGGCTTCACTAATCCTTTGAGACTGAGAGGGAGTGTTTGCATGCCTGCAGGCAATCTCTTAGCCCTGAGACTCAGTGGCTGTTCATTCTCAAATGTGTGGGAATTCTGACAGCAAAATAGTTGGAGAGAGAGAACTCATCTGCTGGTTCAATTCCCAAATGGCTGCAATGCTTGGTGCTGGCCCAGACCGAAGCCAGGAGGCCAGACCTCTATCTAGGCTCCCTCTGCAGTGAGGTAAGCAGTTTAGCGTCACAAGCTTGGAAGCCACTCCTGCCCACCACCTAGGTGTTCCCTCCTGCCCACCTGTGATGCTCACCTATTATCACCTAGAACCTCAGAGGGGGCGGTATTGCATTGTTGTGTAACCACTGCCCTCACAAGCCCCCATAAAGGCTCCTGATGCTCTTGTGCCTCCATGGCTCTCCACTCCCAACTCCACTTCCCACCACCTGCTTGCTTCTCTGGCTTCCCAAGGACAAACTGAAGACAGGTATGGCCCCGTACGTCTGTATTCCTCACTCTGTTCGTTGCTTGGGCAGGGCAATAAAGATGTTAATGTTAACATGCCCTGTATTTCTAATTTGTGTGCTATCAAGAGTTCCAGGAGAGGTGAGGCCTGACAGTAATGGAATGTGAGCAGTGAAGTCAAGAAAAGGTGAATGTCTGCAGCTTTGGAAGTGTGCCTAGGTTGCTTGCTGTGTTTCTTTGGATAGCTTATATTGCTGGGGAAGCTGGGATGTAGGTTTTCAGCTTAGCGGATGGACTTCAGGGTAATGACTATTTGTTCCTCTTGGGGTTTTGATTGACTGGATTGTCTTATGGATTTGTGATTTGCTATTTCTAGTGGGCCCTGTTATCACCAAGCTTGGTTCATAAAGACTCCTTAATAAATCTTAGACTTGTCTGGTGTGATCGTGCTTGCACCCGGCAACACTACCACTTGAGCAGACACAGGTGACAGGTGAGTTATATGTGTGTTGAGACAGGTTCTTTTCTTTTCTTTTTTAAGATTTGTTTATTTTTATTACAAAGTCAGATATACAGAGAGGAGGAGAGACAGAGAGGAAGATCTTCCGTCTGATGATTCACTCCCCAAGTGACCGCAACGGCCGGTACTGCCGGGAACCAGGAACCTCTTCCGGGTCTCCCACATGGGTGCAGGGTCCTACATGGGTGCATTGAGCCATCCTCGACTGCTTTCTGAGGCCACAAGCAGGGAGCTGGATGGGAAGTGGAGCTGCTGGGATTAGAACTGGCACCCATATGGGATCCTGGTGTATTCAAGGTGAGGACTTTAGCCACTAGGCCACGCCACAGGGCCCGTTTTTTTCTTTTCTTTTCTTTCTTATTGGAAGAGCAAATTTACAGAGAGGATGAGAGAAAGAAAGATCCTCCATCCACTGGTTAACTCCTCAAATGGTCTCATTGGCTGGTGCTGAACTGATTAGGAGCCAGAAGCCAGGAGCTTCATTCTGGGTCTCCCATGTAGAAGCAGGTTTTGAGCCATCCTTTACTGCTTTCCCATGCCACAATCAGGGAACCGGATGGGAAGTAGAGCAGTCAGAACACAAACCACCGACCATATGGGATCTTGGTGCTTGCAAGGGCAGGATTAATCAC